AAAGAGGTAGATGAGAAGGGAGTATGGACAGAATTCATCCCAAAATTGGATTTGAAGCAAGACTGTGATTGTCTTGAGTGTTCTTTAGTAGTTACATTGATGAAGTTGTAAGAAAACACAAGGCTGGCAGATGTAGGACTGTGGAGGAAGTGCAGAAACTTACAGGGGAGTTTGATAAGTGGGCAAGTTGAGGGAACATGTGGGGTAGATTATGTGGTTGATGGGAACAGAGAATGGGTGTGTGTAGAGGTGACAGAAGTGGAAAATTGTGAGGAAGAGGACGATGTGTACTAGACTGAAGCATGTGGTGGGGGAGGTGGAGGTAGCTTTGCAGACCAACGGAGATGGAGGGCAGAGGTGGGAAAAATAGAATGGAAGTGAAACTGGGAAGAAGTTGAGCTGGGCCAGAGAACGGCAAATACTGGGCAGAAGTTCCAGAATTGGTAGGTAGATGCCATAAATAGGGAAGAGATGCAGATGTTGGTGTTGCAGTTATGGTGGCATCACTGCCAGTAGTAGTGGTTTGGTACTGGCATTTTTAACTTGAGGTGATATTGTCAATTGTTCCAGCAATTATATTTGGCCACCGGAAATCCCCTTAATTATGAAGATGAGCCATCAGTGTCACTTGGGATACGAGAAAACTGCAACACAGGTGAGAGTGGGAGAATGCCACGAGGTGGATCTACGACCTTGCTGTGCACAACCACCTCTGATGAAGATAGTGGCTCTGTGTGGAATGCTGCAGGAGAACAGTTGTGTGTCGTTTGCCAATATTTCCCCCTGTCACGAGCCCTCCTGCCATGTCGGCATACCTGCATCTGTGCCAGTTGTTTTGGAAAGTTAGACAGATGTCCCATGTGCCGCAGCCCCATCAGGAGTTACTTTTGCATTAGAGGAGAGGATTACATGCCTGCAGAACCTGGGTCGGCAACTTCAAAACCACCGCCCATCTTCCGGTGGTTCCAAGACTGGAATGACAGACTTACAGATTTTCTTGGCTTTCATCGGTAAAATTAAGGAAAGAAATTTTGCTTTTTGAGTGACTGAGGACTGGGAAGTATTTCCAGTGTCATAAATGTAGACTTTTGTGCACACAACATCCTGTTGTGATGTGACAACATAATTTGTGATGTGATGGAGAGGAAGTGCAAGGGTGTTTTAAACATTCAAAGCTTTTTTTTTTCTATTTGCATAGGAAGTATATTTGAAAAGAACTTAATAAAGTGATGAGTAGACTATTTATAATAAATCTGAAGTAGATTTAAGTACTTATACTCATATTTGTGAAACATTGCATAGCTGTAATGAGGAAGCACATTGTTGTATTTAATATGTATTTATTTTTAGATTTTAATGTTGAAAAATGTGAATCACTAATTATATGGTGATTTACTGATAGTAAATGTTTCCTACATGAAGATGAACTGTTTCAAAGTTATGAAACAACATATTTTAAAAACAGATATTAGTAAATTCTAATTTTAGACAATATTAATTGTATATATTATTTTCACGTAGTTGAATAATATAAATTCAATTGTGTGAACCATGAACCTTCCAATGTAAAACTTATGCAAAATTTATATGAAGTAAGAAATTTTATTTACTCTTTCAGTTTAATACAAAACTTGTTAGCTGTTATTGCTCTAATTGGCCTAAAATACTGAAACCATCCATTGTACTAAAGCAGATCCTTAGATAATCTGCCAGTTGTGTTCTGCTGAAACTTTCATTGTTTTTTTCCCCCAACCTATATATATATCCTCCCCATTATGCTACATACAGGTGTATGCAATCTAATGTAATTCTGGTAGATTGTATGTTTGTTCACTCTGCTTGCATGTAACAATTTCACAGATGAAGAAATATCTCAGTCATGAAAGAAATGATACATTCTTATAGTATGGGCACAGATGAATTATGAAATCTAAATGGATTCATACCTCAGATAAATGTACCATTACAAATTAATTTATAATTTTTTCCAATCTCAGTTCATTTAAGTCTCTGTATATGTAATGCATATTTAGTAATCAATGTCATGTTGAGGCCTTGATAGATCAGAGTATTTAAAGAATATTGTTTTTGGAGTGTTTTAACCTCTGTGCCAAAAGTGACATCATACCTTGTGAAATGTGTTTTTAGTTTTCTGAATGGGACTTTGTTGTCCTGTTATACCTTGACATTATGAAATGCTTTATGTACTTGTAAGGTCAGACAGACACTTGTGTGTCAAAAATGCTTCTGTGGGCTCCTTAGATTCATTTTTAATTGAACTGAACACTTTAAAGAATAGGTTTGCTTACTAACATCCCCATGGAAATTCCAAAAATGTCAAAACATTTATAGTTCTCTGCAGATGAACATACTCTCTTTTTGTCCCACAAAACATCAAAGTCAAATAGAAATACAAACCATACTTTTAAAAAAGCATCAGCTTATCTCATCCTGTTTATTTCATCAACATGTTTGTATTAAAAATTTTGAGTAAAATAATGGTATCATATCAGTACTTTGGTTCTGTGGTCCGGTGTACTGTTGGACAGTCTCCGAAATGTAATTTTGTGTGACACTCTGAGGCACAGATTAACCATAACTGCACTTTGCAATTTGGATGTCTGAATTTTGTCCTCATTTATTTGTTTTTCTCAGAACATACATGGCACCAAACTCATTTTCCTTCTGAAGGCAAATGTTCATTGTGTTGTTTGTCAGATTGGGTCAAGTGGCCAGTGGATGGAGTTACTTTTCCCTGTGTACATACCCCATGTGTCTGCTGTAGACTTGTACTGTGGCTGGCTCTAAATTCCATATTCGGCACAGAAATTGCCTTCTGCTGGAGGATGATGCATATTTGTGAACATGTTCACATTTTTTTTAGCTGTAAAAATCTGTGTATGGAAGAACCGGTCTCACTTCATTGTGTCCCTCTGAAGTGCCATAAAAGTGTGTTCTGCTGTGGGCCACTATCTTTGGTCATGATCCATTTGCGCAATAAAATATAGAACCAAGTATGTCTGGCTGTGTGAGCATTCTTCATGAAGTGTGTCCAGGTAATGGTCATTAATAACTGTTTTTCTCTTCCACCAGCATTTGTATATTTTTATGATAAATGAGCACGAAAATGCTTAGTGAGGTAGAATCTCTGTTTACATTGAGTGACTCATTTTGTTTCAAGCCACTAGGACCCCTTGTAAACTGGTGTATTACAGGTGCAGAAGGTTAAGACTGCTGTGTACTGTGAATCCACTGTGCGCAGTCTGTCTCAGTCCTATCACCCCCTTTTTCAGTTGTCATCATCTTCAGATGTGTGGGAGTCAGAGTCTAAAATCAGGTCTTGTACTGTGTCTTCTTCTTGGAGTCTCCTCGTCAAAGCTCGTTACTTGCATAACCTTTTTACATAAGAAAGAAGTTATCCTTACTATCAAAATGTACTGGGAAAAGTAAGGGAAAATTGTCTGAGGTTTCTGGGTGCCTTATTTTTTTTTAAACCTTGTCACATATGTGCTACACCGTAGTATAATTTTCCCTGCAACATAGGAAATGTTATGTCGATCAAAATATCAACAGTAGACAGAATAATATGGCATATGGGAGTTAACAGAACAGATGTTATGCCACTGATGTCAGAGGTCTACAGCAAGCATGTCAAACTCAAAGGCTAACATGGGCCACATAAACAAGGTTCAAGTTTATGTGGGCCGCAGAAAAAAAACTTCAATTGTCATAGAAACGTAGGTTTATTTCGAAAAGTATATAAAAAAAGAACAACGATAAAATTAATGTTTTCTTCCTGACACTTGGCATCTCTTCTCTGCTACTATCTTTCCTACTTCGGGGGAAATCTTGTTCGCAGTGATTATTTTCAAAACTGATCCAAGGTGAATGTCAGTAATTCTGGATCTGACAGGAGACTTATTTCCTTTCATAATTGTAAATAACTGCTCACACCGATAAGTACTTCCAAACATGGAAATAATTTCATATGCGAATTTTCGAGTATTTTCAAACCTGGCAGGTAAATATTTGTAAAATCCAGGCATGCCAACTTCACTGAATTTTGCCTTCAAATTAAGTTACGAAATTTTTATTAAAACGTTTCTTACATATCGTTATATTGGCTGGGCCGCAAAAATATTCGTTTTGGGCCGCCTGCGGGCTGCGAGTTTGACATGCTTGGTCTACAGTGTGGGTTATAAATTGCAGGGTTTATTCACTGAGCATTTATACATTTCAGTTTACACTGCTTGTGAGACATGGTATAATGTTTGTGGTTGGTACCCTTAACAAAATAATATTAGGGTGATCATGTCAAGAAGAATGAGATTTGCAGGGCGTGTTCCAGGTATAGGAATGATGATGTGTGCATGAAAAAATTTGTTAGAAAACCTCAACTTGGGAGATATGGGCATATATAGAAGACTGTTTCCTTAAATAGACAGGGTATGATGGTGTGGACTGTGTTTATTTCATTCAGAATAGGGACCGGTAATAGACTCTTGTGAACATGGCAACAAACTCCTGGGTTCCATAAACAGCTGGAAAATGTTTACTGTGATTATTAGCATTTCAAGAAGGAGTCTGATTGGATTATGGGAAATAATATAATAGACATGAAAATTATAATCACAAAATACTGCAGGATACCTAATAATATTATGCATTACAAGTTGCAGTTTATAGTCAGCTTGCAGGTTAGTCCAGTATTTCTGGAACTTGGTGTAAAGTCTGGAAGCAGTCATCTTTAGTGAAGCAACATGTATATGAAGCCCTTGCAAAAGGGCAGTTGATGCCCCTTTCCTCTTTCCATCCCATCAGGACCAGTAGTCTTGACTCTCCCTATATCACCATGTGATGCAACAGAATTCTTCCCAGACATATCATTGCTGGATCTCCCTCTCATTGGATCTTTGTTTCTTGTTAGCAAATGTTTTGGGCATTTTTGATTTGGAATTTATTTTACTTGAGAGGCTTACCATCTGATTTCTATACCAGCAGTACTTGCTTCCTGAAAATCCAAATTATATATGTCAGATCCGGCTTGTGGTAAAAGGGCCTAAACTACATATTTTTATTCTAGTTTTGTGGCAATCTATGTGGCTGTCATTAGAAACTCCCATTCATTTACTGTAGACATTCCAAACTTATAGACAGTCTATTTGTATGTAAAAATAGTCTTTCTCTCAAAATGCATGGGTTTTGTCTGTGGAAGTTTAGCTGTGAAAGTAGAGAGGAAAATTTCACACTTAAAATCCTTCCGTATGAAATGTATGTTTGGCACATTTTCATTAGATGATCCATGAAGGAGCCATCTGTAGTCATTCTCTGTAGGTATTTTGCAATTTGGGATTCTATTTCTTAGTGCTTTTCCCAGTTGATGAAGGTATGTCAGGACAAGAATAGATGAATAATAATTAACAGAATAAATTTTGTGATATGCATTCCTTGGGACAACTGTTGTTAGTCTTACCACAACATTGAATTTCCTCCTAGATCTGAGAGTCATGAAGCAGGCTCATTCTCTTGACCAGTTTATATATTAGAATTATATACAAAACCTGAAATGGAGCATATAACAGAGCCTGTGTCTGCATTTATGAGGCTTGTTTTACAAAATTAGATCCTTTGTCTTGACACCACGTGGACTTGTAGGCACAAACCAACATTTCAAAGAAATGTACTGTCACCATCTTCAGGGCTGAAGATGGAGAGATGTCATTAAGGACAAGGAATGCATTCCTTGTCCTGCATAACATCCACCCACTGGGCCCTTACAAGGGTGGATTCTCTGAACTGTGTCTCTTGCATATTCCTCTCCCCCGGCTGGCCAGGCTGTGGCATTCTTCCTCTCTTACTGGCTCCCAGGCACTCGCCCAATCTTGACCTTACTCCTGATTGGTCTGGCCAAGGCTCTGCCTTGATTGACTGGTTACTGTATCTCAGACTGATTCCACTCACATTGCCCTGATGATGGAGGCAGCAGCTACTTCTGAAACAATGGTAAACTTGTACCAGACTACATGGCACTGCAAACCAGAAGACAGCCATCTTTGTACTCCCTGCCATGACATACTCAACTTCTAATTAACTAAAGCTGCTTGTGTAAAGGCTGGCTGTTTGAAAACTTTTTGCATGAATAAATGGATTAATTCTTAACATTTTACTCATGTTCGAAAACCTGTGGCTTAAAAATGTGGTAAATACAGTTTATTTTTTAATCCACTGCATTTTGATGCTAGATAAATTGCATTTAAAAAAACTGATGTTTTAACAAAGCCTCAATGAAATCCTATATTTAGAAAGTTAATTAGGGTTTCTTATACATTTTATAAAAATACAGTCATCACCTGCATCGCTGACACTAAGTCACGGGTAAATTTTCTGCTTCACGTGAAGTCGCGCCCAAATCAGAATATGTTGTGTCTTGTATAGAATGTTGTAGCGCTGTTTTTTCACAGTGGGCTGTTGTTAGTCCTCCACCCAAACTCCAAGTTGGAACACATCCCTTATTGGCTGTCTTATTATTATTCAGTATATCCAAATTGCAAATGTCATACCATGTTCTTCTATCACTAGATAGGCAATTTTTAAATGTTGAATTTCTAATTGAGTGCATTTATATGTACTTTAAATACACTCTTGCATAATACAGTAGCATATGAAAACATAACAGTTACTTAAGGTTAAAAAGTGCAGTGTGCTAATCTCTTGAAAGTAGTAGACATTTATTTTACAGTAATATCATATGGGTGACTATTATACTTTCTTTGTTGTCTTATTAATCAAGTCTTCCACTACTCCAGTTTCACAAACTTACAGATTTTTTCAGTGTAAATTTTCAGCAGTAACGAATAACTAACAGATTTTAATGATCAGTTATTTTCAGAGTTGGGCAGAGTTCATTAGTAATGTGCAGTATTATTTCATATACAGAATATATTTTTATGCTTGCTGCCAAGGGATGAGCTGCGGTAAGAGTGGAGATGCATCCATTCTGCTTTTCTAATGAAATATGACACAATTATAAATGTTCAGACAATAAGTAGGAAGGATATGGTAGGAAGCTACTATACCAGAAAACCTGGAGGAACTTAGAGATTCAAACCCTGTCTGGATAGGTTTCTGACAAGGATTTTAACTATGCTAACCTGATTAATAAATGTGATAATTTACATATGGAAAAGTATTATGATGCATCCAGCTAACAAACCCTTGTTCTGGAGTTATGAAATGATTCTACAGTAATATTATTAATACACAGAATTTTTGTCAGTGTGGACTTGGACACAAAAATCGGGTGTTCCACCCACCATACAACAAAAGTAGTAAGGAACTTAATTGATTAAAATTCATTTTACCTGAGACCTATTACACACTGAACACTACAGCCAAGTGATGAGCAGTCCTGCTTCATATTTGGAACTCCCAGATTCCAGTCTTGGCCTAGAGACCAGCTTTTTTGACTTTTTGTGGTTTTTCTCAGTCCCTCCAGGCAAATGTTTGTATAGTACCTTGAAAGAGGACATGACTTTCTTCTTTCATATCCCTTGCAGTTTTTTGTTTGATAATCATCCTATCACATTGCAATATAGTCTCAGCTGCCGACAGTCATTAAATAAACCACAAAATAAATAAATAAATGTATATACCTCACACATAGCAATTTAAAAATGTCTTAGCAATGGATAATATATGTCATTTTGTAACCTTTCTTAAAAAAAATTTGTTTTTCTGTTAATGTTTATGCAATTTCTTTCTAGCTTTCTGCTAATATTTAAGCCTGCAGGCTAGCTGTGTTTAACATACACACTATATCCCAAGCTTCCATGAGAATTTATTATGTTCAGACATTCAGAAAATTATGAGACAATTTTGTCGGTGATACTATTGTGCATCAAGCTTTATGGCTGACACAATTTCTGTTTGAAGTAGATGGACTTAGTAGATGACTTACATAAAACATATGACTGGTAATTAACTTGTGTATTTAGTAATTAGACTTTGTATATAACTATATTTGTAGCAGAATCATAAGTCATATCAGGGTTAAAAATTTATAAAATAGGATTGACATTTATAGACCTTGAATTCCACCCACTACTCATACATCTGAAACTTGTGTCGTGATTGACAACTCTCTTGTGTTTTGTGCCTAACTAGGAAAGCAGAATAGAATTTAACAAATTTATTGTGTGTTAATAGTCTGTGATAATGCTAGAATGTAAATAAAGAATGTATTTATTGAGAAAGTAAAAGTGGTACATTTGTATTAAAGTGATTTATAGTGTGGGAGAGGAACAATTGTTTACAGTGTTTAAAAAATGTATTAGAGATTGTTAGACAATGAATTGTTATTTTATTTAAGACACTTGTAGTTGGAATTGAGATTTGAAACCGAGTACATACAGAAGAGGGTGACAGGATAGTGCCCATGAAAGTAAAAAATCCACAAAGTATTAGAGATGTGTTGAACTGTGTATTTTCCGTATGATGCCCCATGAATATATTCAGATTTTCCAAACTGTTAACCGAAGAAGAAGGGGATGAGACCCTACATGCATGGGTATACTTTGGAATATGCAGTGTAAATCCTGTATTTCATGGCTGCTGGCCAGAATTTAGCTCTGGGCTTAGTTCAGCAGTCTGCTAGTGTGAGACTCATGGCCAGCTGGATCATGCGCAAGCTGCTTCACATTGATGATTCAGGTTAGAAGTGCATGTGATGCTGGTTTTATGTAAAGTCCAAATAGAAATAAAACTTAGAAAATGAAAGTAGTTTATTATTAGCCATAAAGAGAAGGGCAATTTTGACAAAGGGTGCACAAAAGTATCCAGACAGTAAAGTAAAACAAGTAATGAGCTTTTTTGTACCAGTGGAATTATTTACAAAGCCTTTCTTTTCAATTACTATAGTCTTAGAGCTGGTGTACTTATGGCATATCTGGTATTTAAATTGAATTTTGCTAGCCAGAGGTGTTGCTCTATGTCAGCGTTTCTCAACCGGGGTTCCCCGGAACCTTAGGGTTCCGCGAGAAATAGTGATGAATAGGCTAATCACCTGGAAGAACTGTTGATCAAAATTGAACATTATTTTCCTTCCCTTTCAACACAAGTGTATGATTGGGTGAGGGATCCATACTCTGAATCTTCTGCTCATCCTGAGAACTTGACTTTAAGAGAAGAGGAAGAACTTTGTTGGCTGCAATCTGATCGTACACTCAAAATGAGATTTAGTGACCTATTCCTGGACAAGTTCTGGATTTCTGTGAAAGAAGAGCATCCTGCCATTCATAGGAAGGCTATAAATATATTGCTCCAATTTTCAACCTCTTACATGTGTGAGCAAGCTTTTTCTTATTTAACAAGTATCAAGAACAAAGATAGAAATCGTCTCCTTTCAGTTGAAGATGAAATGAGTGTGTGCTTATCTAAAGTTCGACCCCGAATTAAGTATTTGTGCACCAAAAGACAAGCACAAGTTTCACGTTAGAAAGGTAAATTTTATTATCTAAATTGCCTTCAAAAATAACATTTCCTTGATACATATATTTGTTCATATAACATTTTACCTTGATTTATATTACGCCTTTTCAAATTGTCAATAAACGATTTAGTTATTGTAGTAGTTAATATCTGTTTTCGTTCTGTTTATGTGTTATATACGATATCGGTTATTTAAGTTTATATTTTTTTTAAAAAAAAGTGGGGTTAATTTTTTGTGTGAATGAAAACCTCCGTATGAGGTCTCTTGAACAGGCAGTTTGATTTCAGTTTTTTTGTATTGTCAGTAAACTTGAGAAAAACGTAAGTTATTTTTTGCTTAAACCAGCTATCAGAAAAAATATATTATGTTTTCCGTATGAACTTTAAGTTTATAAAAGAGAAAGAAAGATATTAATAATGATATATGATAATTTTTATGTAGGGGTTCCCTGAGACATGAATATTATTTCAAGGGTTCCGCAAGGGCAAAAAGGTTGAGAAACGCTGCTCTATGTATATGATTATTCATGGTCTATTCAACCATCTGGATGTCTTTCAAGTTCTTGTAATCTGTGAGGATTCCTTTTCTATACTTTGGCATTCAAGGTACCCCACAGATGAAGATCCTACAGCATAATGTCTGGGGCATGAGTTGGCCATAAGCCTTCACTAAGAACTTTCTCACCAAATACTTCACTTATTATGGCCATGGGGTTACTGACTCTGTGCATCATTGCTCAGTCATGTTGGAAGAACTATAGTCTTTCTTCCTGTGTTAATTCTGAGAAAAACCTGTCCAAAATCAAATATACCTTTCTGAGGTTAGAGTATCCGTTTAGAAATATGATTCACCTTGCACTGATTCCACACCAACTTTCAAATCATTAAATGGTGTGTGCACATGTGCTTTTGATCTCATTTCCTATGTGTTGTGTTTTTGGTTTACATAGTATATGTGTTTGTTTTCCTTCTACCTGCAAGCTAGTAACATTGGTAAAATTCACAGATTCTCTGTGACTACAGTATTTTTTACAGATTTTGGAATGAATGAGGAGACAACTTTTTAATACTTTCTGCAGAGTGGATTCAAAATCATCCATGAAGAATTAACCACTCAAAGATCAGTTTCACACATGTTTAGTACAGATGAGATTTTAACTTTCATTGACTTTAATGCATAAAATATTTGATTTCATATAGATCCTGATGTGATAAACACTGTATACAGTCTCTGTATTGTGTAGTTTGTAACACATTTTGAAGGGAAGAATATTTCAGCTGTCTTAACATTGTTTGTATGTCATTTATTTTAGAATATCATATGGAAATACACATCCATGAATTATGACATCCCTTTTCTTGATTTTAGATTGTGCATTCATTGGATAAGTAAGTAGCTATTATTATTCCCTCTCTGATCCTTCCCCTCCATCCCTGAAGACAGCCATCTTCATGCTCACCATGGTGAAAACCTCAAATCCTACAAAATAATAATAGTATCATCCACAAAGAGTATGGGTTTAGAGTTAATGGTTGGCAATAAATCATTGTCGTATATAATGCCCCAATGTGAACAGGTGTTATTTGAATCTTCTGTCACGAAGGTACGATTTATATCACTGGCCAACTATATTTCAAATTCCATAAAATGTTGTTTTGACAGTGTAATTCACGATTTACACAACCAAATGCTTTAGAAAGATCGCAAGATATTCCACAAACCAGCATTTCATTATTAAAAGCATATGAGGAAAGTTTGTGACGTAACTTTGGCAATAACTGAAGAGGACCTGATGACCATGCTGAACGGGAAAGGATTTGCTGGGATTATACGAAGTTCGTACGCAGAGCTAGGCTTTGAAGATGGCTGTCACCTGGGTTGTTGCGCCTTGAAGGGAAGGAGCTCTGAAACGTCGGTAAACTTCTACCAGACTACACGGCGCAACAACCCATATAACAGCCATCTTCGGACTCACCGTTGGGCAAACCTCAAATGCTAGCTAGGATTTGCTTCTCGTCATGCCATGTAATTTGGAATGTGCGTTGCCAACTCTTGAGTTACCAATCTTTATGTTGGTATTGCCTGTGGACATCGTAGCAGTCGCATGTTGGCTTTCATTGATCGTGTTTGCTAGTCTGTTGTGCCTACATCATATTTTTATGTGTTTACCATGTGCGGTGGATTTACGTGTTCGAAAAATGCCCTCACAGCGTTAAACATTCTCTATATTGTAAGTAATCATTACATGTTGTATGCATGACAAGTATTTGTATAACGAGAACCGAGATGTTCCAAATATGTAGAACCTGGAGGGGCGTAACCTCAAAATTATCAAGAATGTTATTTTCGTGTATGCAGGACAATTGTTATTGTAATATTTTGAGATTTTTTGAAGACCGGGCAGAATACGTTCCTCTTTATTTTTATTACATACAGTTGATTAATTTGTTCTGTATTCTACATAATTCAAATAAACGATGTGTTCCAATTATATGATTCATAGAGTATTTCTGCATTTTTCTTCGAATATAATGAAATTTACGTTGTTATACAATGGAAAAATGGGACTGTTGTGTGATCCAACATTTCTCCCATTTAATAATACTGTATAAAATTGCCGGTCAAGGATGGTGTGGAAATCCAAAGCAGCACTTAAAAAAACACGTCTTTATTGAAAGTGTAACAGCTGCATATAAAAATTGAAATCATTGCTTCCCATTTCTTATTTATGAAATATGCAAAGTTATAACACATAAAAATCTGTTTTGCTGTGTTATATATAAGCAAATGTATGTAGTAGGCAATGGATGGGCAAACAGTCTTTTTTCATTGCATTGTTTCCACAAAGCAGAATATAAAATTTAAAGTTTAGTAATTTTGTGTATAGAAAAATTAATATTGTTACATATCTCTGCTTAATTACAGAACATTAATTTATTTTATATACTGCATTCTCAAATTATAATAACAGTGCTGCGTTGTACTACATGTAAATAGTAGGCATCCCTTAGCAGCATTGCTATGGTTAAAATTATTATCCCATAAAGCCCAAAATCCCTTGACTGCAAAAATTCACTAACAAACCAAGGAACCAGCAGTGCATATTATATAGATAGACTGTAAATGGAACATAAACTCAGCAGCTGTAACCACTACTATAAATGATTTATTCTGATGAATTGATACATGTTTGAAATTCGATAAGAAATGGATGTAAATTCTAAAATATTATAAATACAGTTGTAGACTTGCAGATGGGTAAAAGTTGGTGAAACGTGTGTGTATGTTTGAACACAAGATGGCTGTCAAGGAGTTAGATTAACATTTGACTTGATTAGCCTCATTTTATCCTGTAGTTCAATAGTTGCCCTTGATTCTGTCCTCCATGTGGTCTCTCTGCATTCTGTCAGTGTAGCAAAACCATTTCTTTCTGTAGTCCAAAATTTTGGTCAATAGAGATTAAGTCATTAGTTCATCCAAAGTGTTGATTAATTTTGTGGTCTTTCTGTGCCTGTTTTCTGAGTGTCATCTCACCATCTGTGATTCTAGATTTCTTTTTGACCTCCTTTTGTGTTTCACTATTGTAGGTGATAGGTGGCTGAAGGTATGAGTTATGGATTCTTACTCGTGTATTTGTATGAACATTTGATTGCTTAAATATTAGACCTATAAGTTGAGAACTTTATATGTTTTTGAATTTATTTTTAATGTTAGCATGTTAATGTATATTTGATGTGACAGTTCTGTTATTTTATTACTGATCATGATGGTTCTGATGAGAACTTATATTCTGAATGCCATAGCTTATCATTTTTATGTTGAAATCATCGGCTTGCGTATGCAGCAGAACTAATCCGTGCAGGTGGTGGGACACTGCACTCAGATATACATACGAGGTGCGATCGGAAAGTTTAGAGACTGCGCCTATTTAAAAAAAAAATTCCGTACACTTATCTCAGGTATTAAATTCATCCATCACCCTCGAGGTAGTTCCCCTGGGAGTGAACACAACGATCCCAGCGCCGCTGCCAAGCCTGGAAGCATCCCTGGAAATCTTTCTTTGTCAGCCTGTCAAGCACCATCTGCGATTCTGCCTGAATCTCTTCTATCGTCTCAAATCTCCTTCCCTTTAGCTGAATTTTCAACTTTGGGAAGAGGAAGAAGTCACACGGAGCTTAGAAAGGAAGCTGGGGTCGGTTCTTGCAAGATCTTTAAACTCCTGACAAACGAGAAGTCGATTCTGCTTCTAGTCCTCTGACAGGATGCGCAGAGGTTCGGTCATTTTTAAAACGTGAATGCCACACAAAAGTTTGCGGACTCCCCAAATGTTTGCTTTAGCATTTCATAGGTTTCCGTAGCCGTTTTGGCGAGTCTTTGGCAAAATTTGATGCACCCGCCATTCCGAAATCGCAGGAGGGTCGGTGTAATGCACTACCAAAACGCCCGTAACTAAGAAACAAATGCTAATTCGATGATGCCGGCTGGCACACTGATTCACTATGAATGTAGCGGCAGAAGCTCGTACTACATCCGGTTCGCCCTCTATTGACACAGTCTTGAAACTTTCCGATCGCACCTCGTATGCTTATGGTCTCGATTTAGAACCAGGAAGTGCTACCACAACAGTGGAAAGAATCAGTTGATGTCCCTGTCCTTGATAAAGAAAAGTGGCCTACAATCTGAACTTGCCTTTTTGCCTTTAAAAAGTCCAGACCAAAAGGGCAACTCCAGGGAGAGACAGAACCATGAGTTGGAATTATAACTAATATGTTGATGAATCCTTTGTTTGCAGCTGGTGGCATTTATCCTGATTGGAGTTGCAGTGTATGGAAGAGCTTCAGCTGTTGTGACAAACCTTCCCATTGTTGGTGGGATTCTTGCATGTGGAGTGTTTCTGATCCTAATCTCCATTCTTGGTCTGATTGGAGCCATCAAACACCATCAAGTTCTGCTCTTCTTTGTATCCTTCAAGTATATGACTGAGAAGGGACACTTGTTCAAATTCCCGGTAGATGTCTGAAACAGTTTCTCATAACAGTGTTGTGCGGGAGGGTGCAGTGAATTGTATAGGGAAGTATAAAAGGTTCATAAGTAGTTGTGGTGCAGGAGTCACTAATGTCCACCTGTCATATTCTGTTCTGTGTCTGACAATGGCATTTATGCTACGTACACTTTATTTTCATACTATTACTTTAAATAAAAGTGAGAAGAGATGAAAACACGTTTTCTCTTGTATTTCTAACCGACTGCCATTTTTACTTTACAAATCAGTCTTTTATTGCGTTGTCACTGGCAGACTCATATAAAATCTAACATAATCTCTTGTGAAGCCATCAAATGGTGTTTGGATTGTGACATATCACTGATTGTGCAATATCTTCTTTACACAGGGTGGCTTTATCTCACATTTTTTACAAGGGTGGTTGGTTATTTGCTGAAATAGTACCTTGTGCTCCACAAAAGACAAACCTGATTATCCAGGTGTAAATTCTATCTTGTATGTCGTAAGACACTGCTCTGCGCTCTGATTGTGCCCACTGTCTACTGACTTCACACTCCTTGTTGGACTGTTATGCTTTTCATTTCAACACTGGAGTGAATGTTTGCTTGAGTACATACTTGTAGTACTTGCAGATACACCAGACACTAACAGATGTCCATAGTTATTTCCAGCAGTCACTTGAAAGTTTTATTATGTTTGCAACACTGACCAAAGTTTCCGGAACATTGTATCAGCTGGATATGTTGCATGTGCCACAGGTCATTAATCAC